GGATGCGGGCTGATGTGGACCAGAGAGGACCCCACGGGAAAGCCTGCGGTCACAGTGGCTGGCATTCACCTCGTCGTCGGGATAAAAACAGTCATGTATTCTAATCCCATTAGACGGATGAAGACACTGAGGTTCAGAGAGGCGGTCACTTGCCCAAAGTCATGCAGCTTTTAAGGGCCAGGCCCGGGCTGGGCGAGGGATTCCATCCATCTCAGGGGGGTACCCTCAGCCCTGGGTGACACGGCCCTGCATGCTCTCCTCCCGCAGGATCCTTGCCAGCTCCCACGTGCGGCGTGCTGAACAACGACACGGGAGACTGGACTTTGACTGTGACCCCCAGTGTGGTAAGGCCAGGGGTGCAACCTCCTCGTAGCAGCTGCGAGGCCCACGTGTGGTGCTTTCTTACCTGGATGAGGCGCAGCGGTGTCGGTGCTGGAAATACCGTCCAGCTGTGGGCTGTCAGGTCTAGCAGGCACCCATCCCGCCCGCAGGTCCTCACCCTGGGGCTCGGGGTCCTTGGACAAGCTGCCAGGGCCCTTGGAAATGGTGTGTGAAACCCTGTGGGGGGGGGTGCGTTTTTCTCAGGAGAGGGGTGCCAGCTTCCACCAGGTGATCGATGATTCTGTGACTCAAAAAAGCTTTCTAACCCTTCCATTTAATACACGTTTGGTGGAGTGCCCAGTATGTGCAAGGCGTCAGCTCTAGGGTTTGTTTATTTTTATTTTTTAATGTATTTTTATTGATTTCAGAGAGGTAGGGAGAGGGAGCGAGAGATAGAAACATCCATGATGAGAGAGAATGATTGATCGGCTGCCTCCTGCACGCCCCACACTGGGGATCAAGCCTGCAACCCGGGCATGTGCCCTGACCGGAATTGAACCCGGGACCCTTCAGTCTGCAGGCGATGCTCTATCCACTGAGCCAAACCAGCCAGGGCAACTCTAGGGTTTATAGAGGATGAGAAAGACAGAGTTTGCACCCCAGTTACTGTTTTCAGTACTTAAAAAAAAAAATTTAAATTTTTTTGGTGTTTTCATCTTGCGCTGCTGGGATGCTAAACTAAAACGGGGCTAGACAAACCGCGTTAATTTCCTGACCCGTGTTGAGCTTCCTGGGAGTATGCAAACGCTGCTTTCTGTTAGGGTCCCTTGGAGATTGGGAATCGGGTTTGCATGTGGCCAAAGGCTGGTGGGTGGGATGGAACGGAATCAGGGCCTCTTGGTGGACAGTCCTCCTCTTGTAAAGTGAGCCGAGGCGGAGGGGTGATGGTGTTGTGTTTCCGGTAGGTGTTCTTACAATCGCAGGTGCTGAAAGGGACAGAGATCTGTTTCCTTCCAGAACGTGTCGGACGTGACGGTGAGGCTGAAGAGGGCTCCGCTGTCCTGTTCCTCTAACGAGACCGGCTCCTTCTCCGAGTCCCCATGCATCGTCCAGACCCTCCTGGTGTCAGCGTCGCGCAATTCGGCCTGTTTAGCACATCTGCTCATTCGAGTGGAGATTTATGCCAACTCTTCTCTGGCCCATAGTGCCTCAGGCAAGTGGAGGCTTTTTTTTTTAAATCTGCACCTAAGGATGTGCTTTTATTGGTTTTTTTATTTTCTTTTTTAGAGAGAAGGAGAGAGAGAGAGAAGAGAGAAACATTGATGTGAGAAAGAAACCTCGATTGGTTGCCTCCTGTACATGCCCCAACCGGGGATTGAACCCGCAACCTGGGTATGTGCCCTGACAGGTGTTTGGGATGATGTTCCAACCAACTGAGCCCCACCGGCCAGGGCACTCTCCTATACCTTTTAAAAAACAGCATGACGTCATCAAACAATAGCATAATTGATCATGAGTCAATTAATTTAAATATAAATTGGAGATTGTTCCATGTGAATACACTTAGCTTCGCCTTGTTCTTTTTAACGGCCGCATAATATTCCATTGTGTGAATACACCGTGGTTTCCTTCAACTGATCTCTTAGTGATGGCGCGAGAGCCATTTCAGGTTTTGTTACGGTGACTGGTGCCGACAGCAGGCATCGGGAGGGATGGTCCTGTTTTCTCCCTTCCATGTGATGGCAGCGTTCTAAGGACGGAAGAGGTGCTGGTGTTGAAGGGTCCGCTTGCATATTGTCTGACGTGTGGGTTTTCGCTGTGTCTTACGCATGGCTCACGTCAGGGATTCCTCGCTGGGAGTGTTGGGAGTGGGGGTCTGTGGACCAGCCACTCGGCTTTCTTGTCAGCGTCAGAGCGTGGCAGTGCTTGTCGGGGGGGTTCCTGGCTGAGCTTCTCTGCGTGTTCTTTGCAGAGAACGTGACGGCCATCCCTGACCCGGTGCACCAGCCTCTGGGCCCGTGTCCCTGCAACCTATCCGCCGGGGCCTGCGACGTCCGCTGCTGCTGCGACCAGGTGCGCGCACGCTCTGCTGCTCTTTTCCCTTTAAAATACGTTTGTACTGATTTTGCAGAGAGAGGAAGGGAGCGGGAGAGAGAGAGGAACGTGGATGAGAAACGGCAACATCCATGGGCTGCTTCCCGCGAGCCCGCAACCTAGGCACTTGCCCTGACGGGGAATCAAACCCGCGCCCTCCTGGTGCTCCCTGCTCCTGTCTGTTTTCTTCCCAGGAATGCTCGTCCGATGTCACCGCGCTCTTCAGAGAATCCTGTCTCACCGGCGTGTTTGGGGGGGACGTTAGCCCCCCTTTCGATCAGCTCTGTTCCGCGCAGAGGCCGCCCGGGGTCCCCGGCTGGTTTCCCTTCCTGTGTGTGCAGTCCTCGCCGGCCAATTCACCCTTCCTCGGTTACTTCCACCACGGGGCTGTGTGAGTGTCCCCGCAGCTGCCCGGGAGGGCGCTCCTCTCGGGGCCGGGGGTGGGGGGGCCACACCACGTGGGCCCCGGAATGGGAATGTGGGTCACATTTTTCACACGATCTCTCCCAAGGCAAGGAGCTTAAATGATCCAGTTCTCGACTCCGTTCCAGACCCCAGTTAGTCAGTTTATTCCGTGTCAGAAAGAGTCGGGCCTCACGGAAAAGAAATTGATGGATGCAGCACCACGTTCACAGTGTCGATCGGGGGGGTCGGGGGGTGGGGGGGCTCATCGGGGACTTTAACTTTCCTCACCTTCCGGGATTGTTGACATTTTACAACATTGTTATTGTTGAAGTGAAATCCATGTGACATACAATTAACCATTAACCACTTTAAAGTGTACAGTTCAGTGGCATTTAGTACAAATATCATTTTGGTAATTAAAAAAGTAAAGAAGCCCAGCTGGTGTGGCTCAGTGGCTGAGCGTTGACTTATGAACCAGGAGGTCACGGGTTCGATTCCCAGTCAGGACACAGGCCTGGGTTGGGGCTCGATCCCCAGTGGGGGGCGTGCAGGAGGCAGCTGATCAGTGATTCTCTCTCATCATTGATGTTTCTATCTCTCTCCCTCTCCCTTCGTCTCTGAGATCAACATAAAAAAAGAGTAAAGAATAAAATGCCAATGAACAGTGGGTCTGGCAGGTAAGAGCTGAAAGTGTTAGTAACATCTTTCTTGTTGACTCCCAGGTCCTCGAGGCCGCACGCCGCCGCCTTTGACGCGTATCTGCACACTGAGCCGAAGGACATGTCGGACTCGGGGTACAAACAGGGAGACCCCGTTATGACTGCCGCTCAGGCCTATCTCACTGTCCCTCAGGTACTAAGTTCCAGCGTAATGTGCTGCAGCCTTTCCTCACTGTTTCCCCCTGTTTTTAATTTAACTCCGATTGCTCTTAGAAATACCCCCTCAGTGACTTATTCTTCCCTATGGATCTTCTAGGCCCCCAGCTACATACGGTGTCTGGATGTTTTTCATAGTCACTCTTAAATGACATCTTTATTGATTTTTATTTTTATTTTTTTAAAAATATATTTAAAAAAAATATATCTTGGCTAAATCTCAGCGTGAACTCAACAAAACCAAAAACAGTCTGTAAATTCCCGTCGAAGTAACTCATTCTTCACTTCTGTTAGTTTCACAGCCACTGTTATTTTTTATTTATTTTTAAAAATCTTTGTTGTGGGAAGTATTACCTAGGTCCTCCTTTCCCCCATTAACCTCTTCCAGCCGCTCCCGTCCCCCCCACAGCCTCGTCCTAGTGAGCGATCAGTATGTAATTTAACATATTCCAGAATGCTGGAACATGTTTTAAGGCGATAGTTTTATGTGAAATCCCCCCTTTTTTTAAGTTCAAAATTCTAAGGAAGAAATGTTTGTGGGAACAAAACACGGGCGTCTAAAGCCGTGTCTCTGCTATTCCCATGAGTCCACTTTACTGGTTTTAACAGAAGCCTGGTGTGAAGAGGGAGGGGAGTGGTGTTGAGTGTGATGTCCTTTCTGCGAAGGAGATGGAGGGGAGGGGCTTCTTGGTTTCCCAGGAACAGTTCTCACTGTGACCAGCCCTCGGCTCCCACACTGACTAGCACCGAGGCCTTTGAGTAGACGGGTCATCAGGCGAGTGGGCCAGCCGAGGGCACCAGCAGGGGGTGCAGCTGCGGGAGGAACCTTCTTCGGTTGGGACGTCGCCCTGTGTTTTCTGATTAGACCCGGTGATCAGTCTGTTGGGTCCCCTCGCCCCCAGGTCTCCCTGGCTGGGCAGTGTGTGCGGGATGCCCCGGTGGGATTCCTGCAGAATTTTGACGTTCGCTGCATTACTGACCTCGACGGCTACCGGGAGCCAGGCAGCGTCCTGGACGCCGGGATAAAGGACGGCACTGCGGGAGGTATGCGCTGGCTGCGGCCTGGACAAAGCCCGGACCCGAGGGGCTAGCTCAGCTCTCATCTCCTGAGAACAGCAGTCACCGCGCCGGGAGCAGCTGGAAACATTTGAACTGCCATCGAGGAAGGCGCCCCGCGGAAGGTTAATCCATGTCTCCCTTTAGGCATCGTCATCCCACACGTGATCTATGAGGAAGCGGCGGACCTGGGCCAGGTCCTCGCCGGTGCAGGTACTCAGTGCCACACGTTGACGTCATTTCCACAGGCATCCGGACGGCGCTTCTTACGAGTGCCGTGCAGTCCTAGAGAATTACACTTATATGCAGAGTTTCAGGAGCCTCACAACAATGAGGAAGCCCTCTGCCCCCAGGATTGTGTTTGTCCCTGTCCCTCGTCCCTTACCTCACACTCAGCTTGTGACCTTGAACCAGCCCCCACCCTGGTCGTGGCTCATGTGGGCTCCTCCGGTTCTGGGAACCAATATGGTTTTATTGATTTTTAGAGAGAGAAACATTGACGAGAGAGAAGCATCATTGATCAGCTGCCTCCTGCGCGCCCCCTACTGGGGATGGAGCCCGCAACCCGCGCCTGTGCCCCGAGGGGGGATTGAACTGATGACCTCGTGGTTCCTGGGTTGACGCTCAGCCACTGAGCCCTACCGCCGGGCGCTGGAGAATTCTTTAGGACCATTTTCACTTCTTGCTTTCACTTCTTACGGCATCGAGTCTTAGTGGAGTGGCTGCAACACGCCAGTGAGCTAGGCAGCCGCCTGCTGAAGGCGCTGACACTCTCTAGTCTTTAATAAACGTCCTAACGGAGCGTGTCCTCCGAGCTGTGAGCCTCGCCTCGGGGATGCAGGCATGAAAGGAAGGGTTCAGACCTCACGCAGGACCCTGCGGTGGCAGAGCAGGCGGCTGGCGCTGCCCTGGTGGGAAGACCTGAGCGGAAGACGCGTGCGGTGCTCTCACCGATAACACTGTTCTTTCATTCGCAGAGACACTTTTAAGTCCCGGATCGGCCCCCAGAAACGTGACTGTGGAGGGACATTATCTCTTCCGATGGAATAACCGTACCATCAGTGAAATACACGTCAGGATTATCCGGGCAACAGTCCATGCCCTCCAGAAAGGTGACTGGTGCAGGGCAGCAAGACGGCTGTCATGTTTACATGTGGCGTTTTTTTCCTCTTTCTTCAAGATTCTCCTCATTATAACACATTAGACAAAACCCGTACCATCAGTGAAATACACGTCAGGATTATCCGGGCGACAGTCCATGCCCTCCAGAAAGGTGACTGGGTGCAGGGCAGCAAGACGGCTGTCATGTTTGCATGTGGCGTTTTTTTCCTTCTCTAAGATTCTCATCATTATAACACATTAGACAAAATTGGATTGTTTGTTATTTGTATTTGTGATTTGACTTAAAAAAAGACGAATTTGTTTGCATGTCAAAATGTAATCATCAGGTAAAGAAAACACTGTGGGCGATCGCTTCTCTTCCTGGGGAGGTGCTGCCCATCGTGTTTGTTATTTGTATTTGTGATTTGACTTAAAAAAAGGCGAATTTGTTTGCATGTCAAAATGTAATCATCGGGTAAAGAAAACTCCACTGTGGCCGATCGCTGCTCTTCCTGGGGAGGCGGTGCCCATCTCTTTGCCGTTTTGTTTTCTTTCTAGGAACCATGACACAGAGATTTACCGTCAAGTTTTTAAGCTATAACAGCGGCCACGAGAAGGAAAGATCTGGAAACCCAGGTAAGAGTCCATGCCCGTCACCCATCTCACAAGCATTTCGGCCAACACTCCTGCCCGTGGCCTCAGTGCCGGGGAGGTGATGCCTCACTGTCCAGGTTTAGCTTGTGGTCCGACCTTTCTCTTTCTCGTGGGTGACCCTGTGTTCTTTTCCCAGTAGCAATATGGTGTTTTGTTTTGTTTTTTTGCGTAAAGTGTCGTAGATAGTAACAAGCTGCTATAAGTTGCTAGACATTCTCTTTGGCTCCTGGCTTTTGAAAAAGAGATAAAACAGGTAAAATGTTGCTGAAATAAGTGTTTTTTAATAAGTGTGTTTTTATTGATTTTTAGAGAGAGAGGAAGGGAGAGGGATAGAGAGATAGGAACAATGATGAGAGAGAACCATCAACAACAGGCCTCCTGCAGGCCTTGCACTGGGGATCGAGCCCACAACCTGGGCATGTGTCCTGACCAGGAATCGAACCGTGACCTCCTGGTTCACAGGTCGACGCTCAATCGCTGAGCCATGTGGGCTGGACTTAAATGAGTTTTTTAAGAAAGAATGAGCTGCAGAGGACGGGCCCCTCACCTGGGGGCCTGTGAGCTCCCGTCCTGTGAGCGTTCTGTGTTTATGCGCAAATAGACCATCATGCGATTGGCATAGCTGTCACGGTGATGTGGGGCCGTGGCCGTAACCGGGAGGTGTCTGACGGGGCCTCCAGAGGTGGGGGTTGGCTCACTCGCTGGGAGTGGGCCCCGGCCCGGCCGTGGGGTTGAGCTGACTGGCTGGGGAGTGGGGGGCTCCTTCGGCTGCACCTGCTTTCCCAGCCTCCCGATGAGCCCCATGCCTGTCACTCACGAGGACTCACTGAGTGGCCTGCTCAGTGGAGTGATCCCACCAGGGCACTTGCCCGCCAGTCACCTTTCAGAGTCTCTTTAGCATTTATTTCTAAGTCACAGGCATCTTCGCTAGAACAGGTGAAGGTCGCAGCCCCGCCCGCTGTCTCAGCCGCACTCCTGTGCTTCCCCTCGGTGCTCCCGGCTGCTGACCGGCGGCCTGACCTCTGACCTCCCGCTTACTGTGCGTCTAGGTTACCAGCTGGGCAGGCCGGTGCGCGCCGCACATGCTGGCAGGAGGGACCCGGCGGCGGCCTTGAGCCTCTGGCAGCCAGGTAATCTGCTGGGAGGTCGGCTCCTCGGGAAGCTGGGGCTGGGCCTGTTGCCCCGTTTTGAATGGAACAAGTAATTGGTGGCTTTAAAGTTCAGCTGCTGTATTTAGCCGCAGGGGAGGTGGTTCCTCGTGGTTTGTCGTCCTTTTGTTTAGCGCAGACAGTAAGAGGGGGGACTCCCTTTTCTTTTACAGCCGGGAGGGGTCTGTGCGAACCGGCCACTCTCAGACCCGTGTTATTTGGAGAAAACGCGCTCGCGGGGTGCCTCCTGGAGGTGGGCACCGAGGAGAACTGCACTCGGCTCCGGTGAGTGCCGCCGCGCCTCGCAGACAACACGATGTGAGAAGTTAGGGCCGGAATAAAGCTGGTGGGAAAGCCAGCGCGAGTGATGAGCACACGCCCACTTCTGACAGGTCAGGTGATTCAGATGTGCAGTGAGGGAAGTAGACTTCTGTCGGGGGAGTAACGCCGTTGCACCCACATTTACGCAAATTCCTCGCTGGCGTTTGCGGGGTCCCTGGAACCCAGCGCTCCTAGAGCCAGAACCAGGGTCTCGCTAGTGCAGTTGGAGGGGTCGACGTGTGAAGATGCCTGCACCCTGTTGTGTGGCACAGAAAGGACTTTCCGCTGCCTGGTGTCGTTTGGAGGGGGCACTTTCAGATACGCGGGCACTTCCTCTTTTACTGAAGTGAAATCACACAACGGAATCGGTCATTTAAAGCGAACAGGTCAGTGGCCGTTAGTACATTCATGATGTTGTGCGGCCATCACTTGTTTGGTTCCGAAGCATTTTCATCTGCGAACGGAAACCCTCCCCTGCCCTGGCGGCCTGGAGACCCCGAGAGTCAGGACTTCGGGGTGAGACCAGCTGCCGGCCACGCACTGGGAAATGTCTTGCTCTCTCGCAGGGACAAGGCTGCGGGCCGTGGCCGTAACCGGGAGGTGTCTGACGGGGCCTCCAGAGGTGGGGGTTGGCTCACTCGCTGGGAGTGGGCCCCGGCCCGGCCGTGGGGTTGAGCTGACTGGCTGGGGAGTGGGGGGCTCCTTCGGCTGCACCTGCTTTCCCAGCCTCCCGATGAGCCCCATGCCTGTCACTCACGAGGACTCACTGAGTGGCCTGCTCAGTGGAGTGATCCCACCAGGGCACTTGCCCGCCCGTCACCTTTCAGAGTCTCTTTAGCATTTATTTCTAAGTCACAGGCATCTTCGCTAGAACAGGTGAAGGTCGCAGCCCCGCCCGCTGTCTCAGCCGCACTCCTGTGCTTCCCCTCGGTGCTCCCGGCTGCTGACCGGCGGCCTGACCTCTGACCTCCCGCTTACTGTGCGTCTAGGTTACCAGCTGGGCAGGCCGGTGCGCGCCGCACATGCTGGCAGGAGGGACCCGGCGGCGGCCTTGAGCCTCTGGCAGCCAGGTAATCTGCTGGGAGGTCGGCTCCTCGGGAAGCTGGGGCTGGGCCTGTTGCCCCGTTTTGAATGGAACAAGTAATTGGTGGCTTTAAAGTTCAGCTGCTGTATTTAGCCGCAGGGGAGGTGGTTCCTCGTGGTTTGTCGTCCTTTTGTTTAGCGCAGACAGTAAGAGGGGGGACTCCCTTTTCTTTTACAGCCGGGAGGGGTCTGTGCGAACCGGCCACTCTCAGACCCGTGTTATTTGGAGAAAACGCGCTCGCGGGGTGCCTCCTGGAGGTGGGCACCGAGGAGAACTGCACTCGGCTCCGGTGAGTGCCGCGGGCTCCGCTTCACACGAGGTCGCCGCCGCACCTCGCAGACAACACGATGTGAGAAGTTAGGGCCGGAATAAAGCTGGTGGGAAAGCCAGCGCGAGTGATGAGCACACGCCCACTTCTGACAGGTCAGGTGATTCAGATGTGCAGTGAGGGAAGTAGACTTCTGTCGCGGGAGTAACGCCGTTGCACCCACATTTACGCAAATTCCTCGCTGGCGTTTGCGGGGCCCCTGGAACCCAGCGCTCCTAGAGCCAGAACCAGGGTCTCGCTAGTGCAGTTGGAGGGGTCGACGTGTGAAGATGCCTGCACCCTGTTGTGTGGCACAGAAAGGACTTTCCGCTGCCTGGTGTCGTTTGGAGGGGGCACTTTCAGATACGCGGGCACTTCCTCTTTTACTGAAGTGAAATCACACAACGGAATCGGTCATTTAAAGCGAACAGGTCAGTGGCCGTTAGTACATTCATGATGTTGTGCGGCCATCACTTGTTTGGTTCCGAAGCATTTTCATCTGCGAACGGAAACCCTCCCCTGCCCTGGCGGCCTGGAGACCCCGAGAGTCAGGACTTCGGGGTGAGACCAGCTGCCGGCCACGCACTGGGAAATGTCTTGCTCTCTCGCAGGGACAAGGCTGCGGAAATACTTGATTCATTAATACAAGCAACTCACGTTGCAACGAGAGGCAACTCCGATTACCGGGACCTTGGTGACGGCTGGCTGGAGATCGTGGGTAGGTCAGGCTGCACCTGTGAAGTGAGGGGCGTGGCTGCTGGGACTGCAGAGCCCCGCCCAGCAGGTCCTCTGCCTCTGCTGGGGCTCAGCTGACACTTGCTGGGGGTTAACACTCCTTTCTCTCTTGCTCGTGATGCCTTTTTTGTGTCTAAAAAAGGAAATCCACAGGAAGGTCAAGTTGCCCCGTGGTCTTAGGAGCCAGCAGTGTCTGTAAAGGAAGTGGGAGTGGGTGTGAGGGTGCTCATTTCAGTTTGCATTGTTATTCTTGGTCCCAGGAATATGGGCAATTGAGAACTGCCTTACTGATTTAAAAAAGCAGTTTTGTTAACTTAAAAGAAAAGGTGATAGGAAATATTCTAAGTGAACGGAGCCAGGCGCCAGTGCCCACCCCTGTGGGAGCCCATCCCCCATCCGCAGCAGCGTCCAGACCTGGAGACAGAAAGCAGATGAGTGGTGGCTGGTGGCCAGGCCGGCGGTGGGAGGCAACGAGGGGTGATGGTTCCTGAGCACAGGACTCTTTCGAGACACATTGATTGGGTGCCTCTCGAGCACTCCCTGACCTGGGCCGGGATCAAACCTGCAACCCAGGTACAAGCCCTTAACCGGGAATGAAACCCACACACCAAAGGACCACTGAGCCACACCAGCCAGGGCTGCCCTCACGCTGTCCCTCCGAGGTCACGCAGCTCAGCGGGCTGGGATTTCTCACCTACCAGCTCCGGGCATTTTACTGCAGCGATGCAGCACTTCTGCTGCAACTCTGGGTGGATTTCAGTGAGCACCGTGGGAACCAAATCATGATTTCCGGTTATTATGTGGGCCAGGGGCTCTAAAGTTCCAGTGACTGACAATGTATAAGGAAACATCTCGAACACAAGGGGGGATACCGTATGGGATGACAAATAAGAGCCCCTGAGAGATGGAAGCCTCACGAACACAAGGGGGGATACCGTATGGGATGACAAATAAATAAGAGCCCCTGAGAGATGGAAGCCTCATTCATGTGCTTCCTGTCTAGTATTTCCCATTTTTACGGTATCCAGGGATTGTAGAAAAACTGTCATTTTTCTTCCCCAAATGCAGCTGCCCCCGACCCAGGCGCAGACCCGGCTGATGGCAGCGGGAAGGGCACCTGCACGGAGGTTCCTGCTCAGCTGAGCATCCGCATCCTCACCTGGGACGCGGGCGCCGTGGAAGGCATCACCCAGCGGGAGATCCTGGGCGCAGAGAAGAGGTCTGAGGCGGCTGCTTGGGTGCGGTTCAGAGGCAGGAGCGCGGAGGGCGCCCCAGAAACAGGGACACAGGGACACGCCGACTTAGAAGCTGAGGGTTTCCTTGCAAATCGCGGCTATCGGCCACGTGTGCGAAACGGGAGATGTGTCGGCCGTGTGGTCATGGCAACAGCTGTGTAACGCGTTCTCCCGGCGGGCACATTTGAAAACTCTCACAATATAAACGGGGTAACTTTTTTTAAAAATATGTTTTTATTGATTTCAGAGAGGAAGGGAGAGGGAGAAAGAGAGAAACATCA